ATTCCTTAAATGCTTTGACGAAATTTGACCCATTATCAGTAACGGTTGCAACAATTTTATTTAGTGTGAGACCGTAAGTAGTATGAATTTCAATTATTGCATCATGTATACGGTCGAATGTGTGTGATCCGAAAAATCTCTTACATGCCAAAGCAATAGATTTTCTTTGGAGAGAGTCATCTAGCCAATGACATGTATAGCCAAAAAAACTTCTGTGCTTAGTTGACCACACATTTGCTGTAGTGCAAACAAATTCACAATCACCCAATTCCATTTTTGACTTGTCAATCATGGATGTGTATGTGGTATTTACTAATGATGTTGCTGTTGGTCTACTCATTAATTTTAATTTTGGATTTGCACACAATCAACTTCTTAAAAGATTTTTTCTCCACAGCAGATACTGGTAACATAAGATCCGCAATATAGGAAATAGTTAATTTATTGAAAACATCTTGTTTGCTGCCGTTTGCTTGTGGTGTCTCTAATTTTGTTTCTTTATATTCTTTTAAAACTTCTACATGTTTTAATCGTAAGTGACGAATGAAGTTCGAAGTTATTTGCGTCGAACCTTGCAGCTGCTTTTTACATATGCGGCATTCAGCTACCACCCCATTTCTTTTGCGGTGAAAGTCAGTTTTGTTCAACTACATGAAACTATTCATTAGAATAAACAGTTACTATTAAAACAGCAATTATTAAAAAATTCTCTGCGGAAACTACTCAGTCAAATAAGATAGGAAATATCAAAATAAATTTCTTACTACCGTTTAGAAAAGCATCTGAAAAGCAAGGTGTGAAACCGATCAAAATAACGTTCCGGTTTCGGTTTTGAAAAATGAATCGGTTTTAATCGGTTACGGTTACGGTTTCGGTTTCCACTCCTTGCTTAAAAGTCAGTTTTATTCTTTCTAAGTGCCTTTTTTCGTCCATCAAAATGTTTGCAAAAATAACTTAAGCCATATTGACTGACTAGTTGAGTTTTTAAGAGTTTTTTTATAACCTACATGCTTAATAACTTTAAAGTATTTAAATATTGTATTGCTTAAAGTGGCGATATCCACGGCTTCTGCAGAATTGCCACTCGTTGTTAAACCGGTTGAAGATGGCTCGTTACTTGTTTTTGATCTCTTACTAGTAGAAGCCTGGTCGAGCAACAAACATCTCTTTCTCCTGTTTTTGCCACTTTCAGCCTGTTCGCAAATAATCAAAAATAATAATTTAGGAAAAATGATCGACGGTCTAAAGTCCACTAAAATTTCCAAATACATACATATGTATATGAAGGGGGAGTGCTACTGCCATAAGGAGTACATAGAAACATTTTTTATTACTATCGATATCGATTGGTGAAAAGATTTTTTATGCATTTGTAACGTAGCATATCCGCTACGATACAATAACATACAGCCTCGTACATACATACAATATTGTACATACATACTGCACCGCACATACATACAATAGTGTACATACATACTCCACCGGACATGTAAATACAGACATACATACAGCGACGTACATGCACACACCATTGTACATATACACTACACCAAGTGAAGCACTGCTAGCAGCACACCAGCAGCATGTCCGAATAACTCACCAACCTCTTCGCTCACCACACTGCATAAATCGGGACGGCACACGACGAATTCTCAACAAGCATGCAGCGCATCAGGTATAAAAGGCTTAACAAGGGCGCAGTCAGGTCAGTCTTGCTAGGTGAGTAGCTGACTTGACTGGTCGATGAGCTAGTGGTGTGCTTGCGCACTAATGTTTTGCCGGCCAGCCAAGCCAAGCTCGGCGTAACCAATCGGTCGATCAGCTGGTTTGCCTGCGGGCGCACCAATGTGTCACCGACTGGCCAAGCCAAAACCAAGTACGACTCAACCCGCCGGCAGACCAGGATTGCACGCCTTTTAGGCATCCTAATTGGTCGCCGGCTAGTTGAGCCTCCGACACTGCCGACCCGTTCCAGCCCCTACTTTTGTAGAGAGCGACTAGGGGAATGGCAGTGCCTGGAGTCAGTCTTGCTAGGTCGTTTCGCTCCACCGGTTGCCGAGGGCCAGTTGCTGTTAGAAGTCACCCGCTGCCGCATATCATCCGTCGTAGCGCTCCCACCGTTGCTCCGCTGTTGTTGAGAGTCACCCGCTGTGCCGCCGCCGTTGCTCCGCTGCTGCCGAGAGTCACCCGCTGTGCCGCCGCCGCTGCCCAACCGTTGCTCAACAGTTGTTGAGAATCACCCACCGTGCTGCTAGCGCTCCCACCGTTGCTCCGCTGTTGCCGAGAGTCACCCGCTGTGCCGCCGCCGCTGCCCAACCGTTGCTCAACAGTTGTTGAGAATCACCCGCCGTACTGCTAGCGCTCCCACCGTTGCTCCGCTGTTGCCGAGAGCCACCCGCTGTACCGCCGCCGCTGCCCAACCGTTGCTCAACAGTTGTTGAGAATCACCCGCCGTTCTGCTAGCGCTCTCGCCATCATCCGCTCCGCACGACCACAACGAACGTCACCTTTCTCTCGCTCTCCCTCTCTTTGGACATAAGGTTGCTAGCACTCTAGTCGTAGCGCCGTGTGTGTGTGTGTGTTCGAAGTAAATACACGAAAATAGTGTGTTTTATTTGGTGGGGGTTAGTGGGACCTTCGCCGGACTCTGGATCGGCTGAGTTCACCTCAGCCTTTGACAAAACCCACCTCATAAATGGCGCCCGAGCAGGGACCCAGCTCTGCAGGCGCATGTGCAAAAAATTTTACAAGCACCAACACTGCGGAAGCGGGCTCGCCGAACACACTACAACCAACAATTGACACACGCGCCAGCGAGAGCAAAACCAATACGCTGAACGTCGACTCCCTCAGCTGGATATACCTGCTAAAGAAGGAGAAGTTGATAGAAGAGTGCAAGCGACATCGAATTTTCGTAGAGGGATACACAGTCGCCGACCTGCGCAACGCACTTAGCGCATATGTAAAGGCAAAGCGCAACCGCAAATCAACGGAAAATTTACTGAGAGACCTGGAAGAGGAGATTAATACTGAAGAGAGAAGGCCCGTGAAGCTGTCACTCGGCCACTTCCCTTCCATCCAGATCGACAACGCAAGCCCACAACCAGAAGAGACTGGGCATATAACGCCAAGAAGCAACGAGATGAGCGACGCCGAACTAATGAACACCGTCCGTCGCTGGGGTGTGCACTATTCGGGAGGCGACGCGCTGCACGATTTCCTCGAGAGAATCGAAGAACTAGCTGAGTGCTACCGCATTCCACCGGACAACCTCCTCCCAACCCTACCTGAAGTGTTAAGCGCGAAGGCCCTTCAATGGTATCGCGTGCGAAAACCGCATATCCGCTCATGGGCTGCATTCCTTGCCGAAGTGAAGAGTTTCTTCCTGCCAAGGCGGTATATGAGCCAGCTGGAAGATGCCATCCGACAACGAAAGCAACAGAGCAGAGAGAAAGCGAAAGATTACATCCTGGCACTGCAAACCCTGATACGCCAACACCCGACTATGTACAAGGGGGACCACCTGGAGCGCATCTATGATGGCCTACGCGTGGAGTACTGCCTCTTTGTTAAGCGGGGTGAGTTCAGGACAATTGAAGAGCTGATGGAGCTCACCGATGAATTTGAGCTCCTGAAGAGCGAAGAAGCCAGACAAAATAGACAGACGGCACACAGCCTACTCCCCCTGGAGGAAGGTTACAGTAGAGAGAAATCCTGCTGGCGATGCAAAGCACACGGACACCGCCGCTTCCAATGCCGAGGAGTTAAGAAACTATTCTGCATAAAAGCGAAATGAATTTTGTTTTCTCCTTGCTTCGCAGAGCAAGTTACAATATATATATATATATGTATTTATGTATGTATATAAAGGAGTTAGCGCATCGACTAAGCTGACTACGTTGACTGCGATGCTTGCATTTGTTTCGCTGTCGGAGGTGGCTGCGTAACCAAACATATACAATTTTTATCTATATCTATAAGTTCTAAAATGCATTCAAAATCTGCATATATAACGAATTGTACCTCTAATTGATTTTAAAAATTCTTAAATTTTAATACCTTTTAATTTTCTGAAGGTACTTCGGTTATAATTTGATTACACTCCTCTCGATGATGTTTTAACGCATCTTCATTGTGAAAATGTGATAGACATATGTTGCATATATACACTCGATTTCGGCGTCGTGTCAGTTGACTGTTCAGTAATCTATAATTATATAAAAAATCTTTTTTATTTTAAAAACATGTGTTTTATCCAGACATAGTGCAAATTTGAAATGTCTTCCAATAG